ACACTCTGAGTCAAGGAAGCTCAGAGAGGCCGAACGCCAGGACAGCTCAAACTGTAGGCAAAGCCTGTACCTGTCAAAGCAGTGTTTACCAGAGTCACTCTGCCACTGGAGAGGGTGTGTCAGCAGAGGGCGTTGGGGACACGGCCACAGCCAGCCAGACAACAGGATGGTCTAGGTGTGTCCCGCCGACCTCCCACAAGACACTCGCGCTTTTCATCAGCTGTGCGCAGTCCAGTCAGGATCGACTTCCAGCCAACTCACGCAGGTTTTCAGAGGCAGCGAATCACAGGGTGTAGGGGGTGGAGGTGCTGCCCATCTTCCTCCCACAGTGCAGCTGGTGGATTCGAACCCCGTGTCCCTGGGACTGCAGTGCAGGATTTTACTACGAGGCCATCTCCAGTCTATTTTAAGGCAAACTTGATGATGAGCACGCTGACCAAGGTGAGCCGTGGGAATGGCCGTCTGCCCGGCGCGAGTTCGAGGGCTGACAGCGCGGGCAGCCGCGGCTCGTCACCGTCTTGGCACAGCATCGAGGCTCGGTGGGCGCTCTGCCGGGGGCGGCGTTCTTGGCTGTGAACACGGAGCGTGCCCTCTGTCACTCACGGGGAGCAGTTCTGCCCAACTGTCTCTTTTCGACAACTTTATCATCAATCTCTTTATTAACAGCTCCGCTGCAGTCAGGGAACGCAAACAAGGGCCCGTTCTCCTGCCAGATTTCTGGAATCAGAGCACCAGGCGCTGCACAGTGGGAAAGTCTGTAAGGCGGGTGTTGTGCCAAGAGGTGGCCCGGCCAGGCCGATGGGCAGATTAGTGTCGCCCGCGTGTCCGTGCTCCACTCCCAGCGAAGCTCACACCTGTGCAGGGCCCGCGGGGTGGACATGGGGCAGAGCTGCTGACAGCAGTGTCAACCCCTCAGGACACCAAGTTACCAGCCCACAAGAGCACGGAGTGAGAACAGGGCGGGGGGGCGATGGGACACAATAACATCTTAAATATCAGTAAAAGAAAACATTCCTCAGACTAACGTGAAACAAAAGGCCTCAAAGCAAACTAGAAACCCCACATCCCACCTGGATTAGCCCAGGATCCCGGGGTGTGGAGCCTGTGACGTGGGGCACCCTATCCAGGTAACGAACTATCTGTCACAGACCAGCCGGGATGAGACCCCAGCAGTTTCCTCCAGTCTGTTTTCTTTGCTAAGCAATTCCCCTCACTGGCGAATCTTGAGACAAAGCCGCATCAGTCCCCAAACGCTGCCACACCCTTGGGCTTCCTGGGGTCAGTTCTGGGACCAAACGGGGAGGGCTGTGGTGAGGAGCAGAAACTTGTTCTCACACCAGGAGCAACACCACCGGTTCTCCCAGGATGACAGGCTCCTCTATTTGACAACTACTGTATAACTTACAAATGCTGTTGCTGTTAGATGCCATCAACTACAGCTCACTGTAACCCTCTGAACAACTCGTCTGAAGCCTGTCCTGCTCTGCACAGTGGTCAGTCTCCCCTCTTGGCTGTCCCTGGGTCCTCCCACCCCGACAGCCTCCCTCTCCTTGGCTGAGCCCGCCTTTCTCAGCACATCTTTTTCTAAGACCATCACGCTTATCTTAGAAACAGCAACATAAAATCCTGTTATACTTAAAACCCGAACAGCCTCCTCTGTTCTTTGAGCACAGAGATAACCCCGTGACTGCATTCTTCCTTATGTTCTGTATCTTAAAGGTTAACATTTAGGAGAACATAACTAAAGCACAGACTCTGACATGTGACTCGCTCGCAAGCTGCAGAGGAGACCATTACTTTTGTAAGGTTGTATACTCCATGGGAGAAGATTCTTCAGCGTTCTCTCATGGAGCCCCTGGCGGATTCGAAATGCCAGAGTCCCGGTCCTTGGGTGATCCTGTGCAGGTCCCTGTGGGCATCACCAGGCCTCCCTCTAGTACCCTTCAAAAACATGATTTTTAGACTGTGAAGCGTTTTAAAAGTAAAGGGAGAAGTGTAACCACCACATCCATCAGCGCAAAACAGGACCAGCTCCAGACTCCAGCCATGCTGTGATTCAACCCTCTCAAAGAGGCTTGTCAACTGGGAGAGGAGAAAAGGAAAAATGCACTTAAAATCCCACGCCTTTCCAGAGCCCTGGCTCTGGGGAAAAACAAAAGGCTGAGGGAGAAAGCAGACGTTGACCTGACTCTCCCCAAAGCCACATCACTTCTGAAAGAGAAGGCTCAGAAGTCCTCATGCCTCCTTTCTGTTGGGCGCCAATAAAACGAAAGAAAACACCAAAAGAATCTAAAAGCCAATAGTAATTACAGAAAAGTGAGACATGCACCAATCCTACAAATGTGGGGAACAGACCACCTGTCTCTGTGACTGAAGGTCTCATTTGTTACAGAACACATGGGAGACTTCATTTACCGAGTGAGGGGCAAGGCCCTGTGTGACTCAGACCTGGAGAAATGTTCCCAGCACAGGACTCGTTCTGAGTGTACAGAGCAGGCTGTAGGCAGCCTGTGCTCCCTGTGCACCCCTCACGTCGTCACGGTGTAAGCAGATGTACATGCGCCCCAAGGACTGCTCCGTGGCCTTGCATTTAGGGGCACTCCCAGGCTTACCTGGCAAGCCTGTGCCGAGTAACGGCGTATGTTTGCTGTGTGTTGCTGCTGCTGGTTGTTCACCATGAATACTACACTGAGAATCTGAAGCTATTTTTTTTTCCTGTGTAGAAGGCAAAGGAAATAAGGTTTATAAGAAAAACACAAATCTCTCCAGAATCCAAGAGCCTCAGAGCACAACACACCTTTCCACTGATCCGTAAGACACATGGGCTGTGGGGAATGGTGATGCTCGGCCCTGTGACACCAGGGAGCGGGGACAGCTTCCGTCCCACAGGGACATGTCCCATTTACAGATCCTCTCAGGACGTCCACCTTAGGGGAGGCCAAGGTGTGTCCACCAACAGAGTGAAGGCTGTAGGATTCCACATGCTCCTCCCACCAAAGCCCTCCAGCATGACCCTCCCAACTGGTACAGTGGCCAGACCTGGCCCACGAAGTTGGTATGTGGCACGGAGGGCTGGGGGCTCAGAAAGAAGAAAAGTGGTTATCTGATTGGGGTTTAGGAAAATACAAACCTGGGGGAGGGGGGTGTGTGTGTGTGTGCTAATTAGCAAAAGCACAACAGCGCCACCTGCTGACCCAAGAGAGACACTGCTAGCTGCTCTGGACATGGAGCTCCAGCCCGCTGGGCACGTGAGGACAGGCCGTATGTGTGCATGGCCAAAACACACTAAGGGGCAGATCCCGTAAACTCCTGGCAACTATGTTCATGTTCTTCCCTCCCAAGACCAACTAAAGGAAAACAATCATCGCACTGCTGGTGAGCCAAGCATGAGGCTACATACAACGAGACGCAGGAAGCTCACCAGAAACAAACCCTTTCCAATGTAACCAAAGTAAATGCTTGAGCAAGTCTGCACAGGCCGAAGGAATAAGAGTCAATTAAAAAAAGTCAACTCTGGGATTGTGCTGTGGTTTTTTTTTCCTTTTTTTATTGTGTTTTCAATGGAGAAATACATCATCTGTTTACAAAATAGCTCTGGAAAAATACAAGGAGTACAGATACTATAAAACAAAGCAAACTCCAGTCATGAGACACTACGCACATCATGCGAAAGCAACAGTCTGACCTCCAGGTTATGAAACGAGGATGAAAGGTCACTACACAGAGGGAGTCCAAGTTCCCGCGCGGCAAGACTTGGGGGCAAGTACAGGAAACAGTTTATAAACTCAATGTTTTAATTTTTATTTTTGCCCAAATGTGTAAACAAAATGACAAGACTAAATCTGTGCCTGGCAATTTCAATCTAACTCTGAAGCTACGTAAACACACAGACACCTTGTACATGTCACCTGTTAGCGTGACTGTCTTCTTCCTTGGGTGGGAGGGAGGGAGGCAGGGAACCGTGGCTGTGCAGAGCGAAGATGTGGAAGTGGAACACTGTATACTAGACAGCGTGAAGCAGTGGTGAAAAGAAAGCCTCAATTAATGCCTAGCCTAAGGGGGAGACTACACTCCAACTTTGGGAAATTAATTTAGAAGGACGGGGGGAGTTTTGAGCAACTGCAGCTTAACATGAAAAGCGCACATGTGACAGGATGGAGCACAGTGCAGGATTCACAAACATGCTCATCAGGAAAATCCGTTAGGTCGACTCTGTCCAGATCAAGGACACCGAGTGTCCAGCACGCATCCCAGGAAGGGAGGTTCTACTGCTTAGCTAGGATTGTTTGTCTTTAAGAAAAAGAGTTCCTAATTGTTTGCATTTAAAAAAAAAAAGTAGTAGAGAGCTGACTAGATGCCAAGTGCCTGCTAGAAATGACTTTAAAATGTTTCTGTATGTAAAACTTATGACACGTTTTGGTAAGCCATTCAAAAATAAAAATTAGTTTAAAACTCTTGGAGAAAATACCTTTTGCCCACATGTTTAAAACTGAAAATCAACTTTGCAAGAGACAGGAGTTGTGTGGAGTGTACAAAGTTCCTCCATTAGAGATCGAGTGGCCATCCACGCGCTCACGTGCACCACGCACTCCCGTTTCACAGGCATGGCTTTAGTCACCTGCAGGCACTGCCACGCAAGCCAAGGCCTGTTGGTGCCTGCGGTCCCAAGCTCTCATCGCGACTCAGCACAGCTCTGAAGTTGTGATGCTCGCGAAATAGCCAGCTCGTGCAGACATGCAAAATGGGGAGGACTTTCTGCTTTGTTTCAAAGACAACAGATTAAAGGCAAAAGAATGTGGAGCTCTGATACGCTCAAAGAAAAATATCTGTTCTTTGTTCGCTGATTTGTATGCACTATAAAACAATTCTATAAATAAAACCAATATATCATTTCTTAATTATGACCCCCATGGAAACCTAGCTATTTCCTAATTACCCTTTCACTGTCGATGTCCCCAAGATGACACTTCATTTGTTAGGGCTATAGCTGCTCACAGGGGCTGAATTAGAAGCCCTCTTTTCCTTTCTCTGAAGTCTACCAGTACAACATGCACAATGGGATCCAATTTGAAGACTAAGGGTAAAGAAAATTCTTCAGGGGGAGGAAAAAGAAAATCCACCAAGCAGAAAATCACAAAGTACTTCTACTTTCTTTAAAAAAAAAAAATGATAATAAAAGTGCATCATCAGAATAAGAAATTCTTATGCCAGTTTGTACTGTGAAATTTCCAAACAATGCATCACACATAAACCCAATCCAGATGTTGAATATGGATACAAATGTAACTTGAGGTGGTTTTTTCTGTTTCTTTGTTTTGATTTTTAAAGGCAGTAATCTTTTGAAATAGTTAATGCAACTGTTGCTACCACATTAAGAACAGTCCTCCTGGCTCCACATACTAACCTGGACTTCCGTTCAAGTGCTGCTTAGCCCAGGTGGGAGGTCACCAAAGCCCAAATCCATTCCATTCCCATCTAGTCTTGTCCCCTCCAGTCGCCTCTCTTAGCATTTGAAGACAACAGGTTGAGTTGGCAGATATTATCTATGGACCCCTGAGGTTGTTTTACCGGTTCAATCTCAGTTTTATTGAATTCTTGATAACAGGAATAGGATTTGCAGGGAGAGCAGGGATATCAGAAAGGTCTGTACTGGATGTTTTCTGAGGATGAAAGCAAAGAACACAATCATTCAGGACACTAATATCAGTGAGATTTACCGTCTACGGCTTTATTGCCTGAGAAATGGATGGGACCTTAACACAGGGGAGAAAAAGTTAAAATGTAAAGAAAAATACATTCAAATGTGTCTAGTTGAAATGAACATGCTTGTTACCATCTAATAGTTTGCTCCGTAATTTTAAAATGCTTCAAATAATTATGAGATTGCTACACACATATTCCCAAGGAATTGCAAACCCGTCAAGCGCCTTTCAGAATGAGCTCTCATACAATGTCGTTAAAAGATGCCACTCAGAGTAATGCAAACAGCTTCTGTGTTAACTGGTACTGGAGAGCCCTCGTGTGGTGAAATACTAAAAGTTCTCTTTCAAGCCAGAGCATTATTTGTACAAGTTATTTTCTCACTGTAAATTACAGAATTTGACCTATATACAATTTTGTGCTATTGTCCCAAATTTGAGAAGCACCTTATGATATTTAAAAGCGTACTAAATCATTCTATTGCCTTAAGATTCAAAACCATAGAGATGAAACCTCTGCATGTTTGAGCGTGTTCAGGTCCACATGCACAAAGGCCCAAGTACCAGCTCTATTAGCAGCTGGATCAAAGCCATGCCACTGTCCTCGGCCTCTGAGCCTGGGTTATTCACAACAATCCTGAGAACCTGCCAGTGGGGGCTTCGGGGTCTATTACAACCAGGAAGAACTGTAAACCACAGTACGATTATCATCTCTGCAGAAGGGCAGATTGCCTGTCTTCAAATAAATGTCACTGCTGTTGAGTCAGAACCAAGTCATCACAGCTGACCCTCCAGCAGAGTTCGGAGGTTGTACACTGCACTGGAGCAGACTAGCATCTTTCTCCCTCAGCATCTACTAAGAATTCCAACTGTCAGAGGCATAGCCCTTGGGCTAGTGGCACAACTCCCTGTGGGCTATGTCACCAGAGCCTTATTTACTGCCTTGTTAAGTGCCATCAAGTCGTCTGCGACTCGTTGTGACCCTGCCCTGTCCTGAGCCAGTCTCACTGATTCCGACACACCAACACCCATTGTCCCAGTTACTGTTATCAATCCATCTCATCTGGGGTCTTCTCTCCTGCTCTGTCCCTCCACCCTTCTAAGCACGACATCCTCCAAGGTCTGGTCTCTCCTGGACACGTGAGTAAACGATGTGAAACAGAGCTTCAAATCCTAGCCTCCAAGGGGCAGCCTGGTTTCACTCTCTCCAAGATAGACCTCTTTGCTATATTGGCGGTCTGTGCTTAGGATGCCCAAATACACAGGTGCACTGTGCTTTCAAAAAAAAAATCAAACACAATCCATCTTTTTAGAATTGAGTGGCTTCTATGACTGGAGAAATCTTTTCATTAAAAAGAAATTTTTACTTACTCATGAGAACTGCTAACAGGAAGACATGCATGAGTACTAATCACTATAGGACTGAACTTGGAGACAACACTAGGAATACAGCTCCTTAGAGGAGTTCCATCATAGTCACAAAGCCTGGGCTGAGGAACAAGTGTGACTGGCTGACCACACACAGCACCTGTCAAAGCTCCTGTGGCGACCCCAGGAAGCTCTTATATTTAAGGCTAATGAGAAGCAGCTGGTGCTGCCAGATTGGGGTCTGAAGAAGAGAGGGCAAAGCCAGAACCCAGTTTTAACACCTGCTCCATTAAACAAGGTTCTCTGCGCCTGGGCCGGATTATGACTGTGACCACCAGGTGTGGTCAGCATGAAGAGACTTCAGAGACATAACAAAGGCTCACAAAATTGTGAGCTACTCCAAGGTGCCTCTGAAGACAACGGACTGGCACAGAAGACAAAAAAGAGAAACAATTTAAAAAACCTCTAGGTTTCACTGAAAACAAGTGGTGGAAATGGAGGCAGAAACAAACATTAAAAATGAAAATTCATGTTAATTTTGCAAAAAAATCTACAGAGTGACTTAGTCCTCTCATTTAAATGTCATTCATTAACTTATAAATAAAACCTCTATCCAAATACCACGTACCCATCTAGTGAAGGTGTCACTAATTTGTAACACCACATGACAAGGTGCTGAGTCAGCACGGGGGGGGGGTTGGGGGGGCTCATATCGTGCTGCCTCCCACCTACAATAACCACACTCAAGAGGCCAGAAATCATCTCCTTTCACAAACATAACTTGAAGTCTCCTGGATGTGTTCAGTTCGATAACCACAAGCCTCAAGAATGTTTATAAATTGCTCCTGCTTCGTGCACTTCGTACCTGCGAGGCCAGCAGGGCAGCCGCCGTCTGCAGAGTTTCTGACGGAGTCGTACTTGTCTCGGTATCAAGTTGTTCCTGTGAGACAAAGAAAGTGGGGGGGAAAAGAGACTCAGAAACGAGAACACGACTGGATCTGGTGGGCAATAAAGCAGACAGCCAGAGAGCAGGGGGTTCAGAGAAAGCAGGGACCACATTACAAAATCCATCCACAAAGCCTCGATGTGGACTCTCATTTTTTCAGACAGCACTAAGTATCTGCTTGCCTACCTTAGCCTTCCAATTCATGGTCCAACTACTACCAAGACTCTGCAACCAGCTTCAATGTAGACATTTTAAACAGACATTAAGACATGCAGGCATACAAAAAATTGTTGCCTGGACAATAACTAAATATAGAATATAAACTGAAGAAAAAGCTCTTGGCTACAATAAAAAAAAATCATCAAATTAATGTACCTAGAAGTACACAAACTGCTTTGTGCCTTTACTTAAAAGAAAGAATGGTCTCTGTGTATGTGTTGCTTTCTGATCCTCGTCCCCACCCAGATGCAGAGGGCAGGCATGGGCGAGCCCTGCCACTCCACTGATGGAAGGTCTGCACAGACATGGATACACAAATCAGGGTGTAAACAACAAGTAACAGTGACAGTTAGCAATCAACTACTAGCTCTACCAACTCTCCTTGGGAATCGGGAAGGAGGTGAGAGAGGGCCTGTGCACAGTGAGTGGGCAGAGAAGGCTGGTCCTCGGAAGACAGCCGCACAGGCTATTTCACATGAAGGTTGATCACTAAGCATACTGTACTCCGTGCCTCAGTATCTCCTCTCCTCTCACCCAGCCAAGGGCAAGAACAGTGGCCGTGGGTCAGCTACAGCACAAGTGAGTTACTCTTCTTTAATGGAAACCACTGCTAATAGGAAGCTACCTGAATAAAATACAGGAGGAGTAGCTTTCAGATGAGTGTGGTGATTCACAGTAACGTTGTAGGTTACATGATGTTATCAGTATTTCATTCTTAACAAGTAATGACTATAGTGCACATATGGGCAGACACAAAACCTAGAAAGATTGTTAAACTTATGATCTACCCATCAAAAGACTCTGGGTAATTTAAGGGAAATAAAGAAACAAAAAGGAAATGTATTACAGACTGTGAGACATTCCAGTTCCTGTAAAAGCCTCGAGTTTTTTCCCAAGCTGGTCAAAATAAGTCTCTTGCCCTCTATCTGCTGCATGAAGCCCAGTGCATCCAGAAATCAAAGTCAAGACAGGGAGCCCTGTGGGACAGAGCACTGCCCCACAGGGTCCCACAGCTGCCACCTTCAGGGAGGCAGACAGCCACAGCTTCCTCCTGCTCTGCTAAAACAAACCTCCTGTCAAAACCTGGCTCAGATCTTGGGTCCCTCTCTCCCCAAGAGGGAAGTCTCCTCCTCCTTCGATCTTCCTGGACGGTCTAAAATCCCATGTGGTCTTCAAGGACCACGGCCCTCCTTCCTATATCACTTCTCCACCATGGCAGGCAGGAACATCGACTTTCTGCTCTGGTCCCTTGGCATCCAGGCCTAAGCAAGTCTCTTTTCTCTGATAACATAAGCAAGGACATGACTATCTTACCTTCTCTACTTAGTCACACACTTTTTGAAAGGTATAGAACGTAGTCATTACTGGATTCACTTTAGCATCAATAGCATCTCTAGTGGAACCACCTCAGGTTTGGGGAACCCCATCTCAGCATAGAGCAGTAACAATGCAATGACCACTGACAACAACCTAAAACCTAAACAATACAGTGCCACATCTAAGACATTTCTATCACATTGTCTGTGCTCTTATTTGAGTATATATTTCCCAAAGGCTAAATGAGTATACCTTTGTTTCTGTTTTATCATGTCCACTCAAAGCAAGACAGTTAGCATCTTCACTTGTTTCATCCTGTTTTTAAAAAGAAAAGCTTTATTCTCGAAAATGAAAAATTTAGGTTATCTGCCAATCAATGCTTTAATTAGTAAAAAATTTTCAAAACTGCGTAAGATTACATATAGCCTTAAAATAGATTACAAGGTTCCTAAATACAGGGTGCGGTATTTTGTTTACTGTTGGTTCTGAAAACTTCCCCCCCCCCATATTAACAAATTTAGCTTTAGCATCTACTGAAGTTCGTAGAACATGGGGAAAACTAACCCTGCAAAGCACCACACCTAAAATACTCTCTGAAGCCACTCAAGTTGCAAATTTTTTTTAAAATATTTTATTAAGTAAATAAAAAAGGCTTCCTGATCAGATCCACAAACTATTATCCCATTCTCAGAGAACCACTCCTCTCCACCTCCCAACCCACCCTCGGCTGCCTGTCTCTCACCTGTTCACATACATACAAGCATACGTACACCCACACATTACTAGAATATTAATAGTCCTGAAATGTTCTATCAAGGATACTTCTTAAAATTCTCTAATAGTACCTAGCCACGAAATAATTCAAGTTAAGACTACACTGTCTTTCCTGGGTCTTCACTTTTTAATGTATCCCAATGGGAAAAAACTTATTTTCCTAAGAAGGAAAGCCAAAAATAGTTGGGACATGTAAGAGTTGACTTGAAATTACTTTCTTTAAACAGTTTAGCATTCTTACTGTCAAAATTTTAGTTGAGAAATTAAAATACTAATATGACCTTAAGGGGATTCACATTCACACACACACACACACACACGCATCCAGCACATAAATCACAGGGAAACCTGAGGATCAAGGTTTTTCACAGCAACACCAATCAATCTAGTAAGAACCTGTGTCATCAAACATGAAAACTGCTTTCTATGGAAAAAACCTACTCACTGTAGCAGCCCCACTACAAAAACCTGACTGCCAACTGGAGCTGTGGCACATCACTGCATTTTTAAGAAATATTCTGAGATATTTGTGGTTGAACAATGTCATCTCTGGACTGGCTTCAGGGGCTATAAAACTGACAAGTCTGGTCATGAGGTGTTAAAATGTGCTAATGACAGTTTGCGACATAATTCCATTCTTGTGCAGGTTTCAATTCTTCCGAAAGTACTCGTCTTTGACAATAATTTTTTTTTCCACATAATCTATGTGGTACATATAGCAACATACTTTGTTTTGTGTTAAGATTACCACTTAGATGAGTTTGAAAAACTGACACATTATGAACGCCCAGCAGAACTAAACTACAATGACATAACTATAAACTCATCTCTACGCATCCAGGTCCTCTTTGTGTGCAGATTAGTAACCGAGTGGAACCAGGACCTTGTCCCAATTGGCTAAACTTCTTAAACGCATTCTCATAAAGTATTTCCAAAGACCTGCATTAGGGACTTTACTCACTCCAACTCTGGCATCCTAAGGATTAGGCCGGAGTTCTAATCTTGACTATGACTTTAGCTGGCTTTTTAACTACAAAAAATAACTACATGAACCAAAAGTTTCTCTTCTGTGAAATGAAAGGAATCACCTATGAGGTAACCTAAAGACACTTCTAGATACTGAAATCTAAAAATTCTGTTTGTGTTAAACAACTCCCGGAAGATGTCCTATGCATACTCTAGGAGAATGTATAAACAAATATAAAATGTCAAGGAGTTAAAGGAAAGAGAAAAATGAGACATAAGACCTAAGTAAGGGACATCACACAATCACAAGACAGAAACCACACTCAGTGCAGGCTTCAAACCACCAGGTGTTAACAATGAAAGAACAGGGAACAGGTGAGAATGGAATAGACAGACAATGCTATTAAATTATCATTTTTCAAGTCCACTGATTTTACGTTGCATTTGTTTTCTTCTCTTTTTTGAAAATCATCTCTGTGGAATAATGAGCATTCATGTTCACACATGAAGCTTGGTAGCTGGAGGTCTACAGGAAGCCAAGTGCTATGGTCATGCCCTCAGAGAACTCACCCCCTAAGGAAGACAAAGACAGACAAAGGAGCCCGAGGTGGACCCTCTGGGCACTGTGCAGACCACCAGGGTAGTCAAGTTACACTGCAACTTCTACAGTCCTCATGTTGCAGTCAGGGGAAACGAAATGCTGTCTTCTATAGGTTTCAGAGTGGGGAGCATGGGTTAATGGGGCCCGAAAAGATTGAGAGGAGTGAGGGTGCAGGGACAGGAGGTGCCCCTCAGCCCTTCCTCAGGAAGCTACAGTATGGCTACCGAGGCCATTACACAATCCTCTTTACTTGTGTGACACATGCTTCCAAATTTTTACACTAATTTAAAAAAAAAAAATCCCATATCCCACAAAGTCATATTCCATTGCCTTTCTCAACCAGGCAGAACACACAAGCACATGCCCACCAAGGCAAATGAGAACAGCATCGCAGGGCCTGTGCGGGAGGGACTGCTCTCCAGAGTGCGCACTCAATGCTGAAGAAGCCGCGGAGAGGCCAGAGATCACCTTAGAAACCGACACCAGGCAGCTGCTGTTGAGGAGACTACAACCCACAGTAGTCTGTAAACAACAGATCAGAATTTGTCCTATCCTCATGATCTCCAACATGCTCGAATCCACTGTGTCAATTCACCTTGTTAAGGGGTTTCCACTCTTTGCTAAGTAAATGTGAACTCTAAAATGGTGGTAAGACAAGCCTCAGTGGACACGAGTGGGGGTGACAGGTCACAGGCCTGAGACAGGAGGGAATGTGACAAAGACTGCAGAATACAAGTCCTGGAGTGTCTCCAGAACACAGCAGGGAGAGTGAGACAAGGAACTACGCTGGCACACAGGGTTAGTGCCACTTCTGGGTTCACGCCCCATGCACAGAACATGTTGTCTTTTCAAAGCACATCATGTAGAGCATTATACAGTGGCTGCAAGGGCAACTGTTAAGGCAGAGTAAAACAAAGAGCCAGAGTATGGCCTTAGGGATTGAGGAGTGGGTATAAGAATCAGCCACTGTGTAGGAGAACTGTGACCAAGTTAGGAATGGTTTACACAAAGACTCAAACATGGATGTCTACCAGAAATGCGGAGGGTGGGAGTGCAGACCACCACTTAGGAAGAGAAATATATTAAGATGGGGGAAGGGAAAAGACCCACATGCCAAGAGGATGAGGACTACAACAGCACTAAAGGGGGAAGGCAGCAGAGGCACAGGAGACTTCATGGAAATGAACAGGGAGGAAGAGGGGGAAATGCTGTCACAGTGTGGGTACTAAAAGTAATGTTACTGAGCAAAAGTTGTATGAATGGGAAAATAAAATATTAATTTACTCTGTAATATTCACTAAAATAGCCATTTTAAAAAAGATTGTCTCCATTATAGGTGGGGGTGGGGGGACAGGAGGGTGAGGGAAAAAGACTCCCACCCACATGAGTTTGATAGTTTCCCTACAACTGTTTTCAAACTGTGAGGAGTTATCAGAAAAAGTACTATCAGAAAAAAACCCAAAGATTTGGACAAGTAATTATGGGAATTCAAATCTAATTCAGTACTTAGTACAGTCACCTCTCTCAAGTACAAGTACAGGGACCCTGTGGAGCTGAGTGACCCTGCAGGGTTGAGTTAGTTGACCCTGTGGAGCTGAGGTGACCCTGTGGAAGTGAACTGATCTCTGGAGCTGAGGGACCTGTTGCCATCCAAGCATTGTGTGGGATGAGAGCCTGCAGCTCAGTGTCACCACAGTAGAGCATAATGCAGGAATTGTAAACCTTATGTCACAGGCACAAGAATTTCTGTGCAAAGGGGCTATAAGCACCCAATGGCAGCCATGAGGGGCTGGAGTGTGTTAGCCTACACAGCACCTACATGAAAATGGGAAGCTATCCTGAGACAAAGAGGAAGGGTACGGTAAAGGACTGACACACTACAGACAGCCCTCTGTGTCACCTCCACTCCATCTGAGCTGGTCAAGGCTGGGGTCCAGGCTCACCTCTCCAGGGCACACCTACCTCTTCTGTTTTTGCTTTCTTAGGACTCTCTTCTTTATGTGGGGAGGATGTCCTCTTCACTCCTACTACAGGACTAGGTATTTTTGTTGCGTTTCCTGAAGTTCTAGGTGGCTGGTTTACCAGACGTGTTGAAGAAGCGACTCTGGAGACCGTAGGCTTTGGTGGTGGAGAAATGGCTGGCTGTGTGGCAGTTTGAGGAATGCTTTCACTCGATGTACCTATGAGTAAGCAAAGATTTCTTAAAAATTCAAAAAAAGGAAAAGCTCAAGTTTTTATTATTCCACATTTGCACTCATGAACTACTTTACACGTAAATAACGAAACAGCATTTTGGAAACTAAACTTGGCTTATTTGAAAATAAGGGTCAACTCAAGTCCAAGGCACGTGCTCCCCAACCCCTCAGTCATGTCCTCACCCCCTGAGCTCTCACTGGAATTGACTTGTGGCACAGAAACTTCAGGAGCCGGGACGTTGGTCACAGAGGCGGCTGTTACAGCCGGAGCGGGGCTGTTTCTGCTAAATTTATTAAGAAAATAAAAGTAAAAATTAGTATAAAATAAGTCAGTAGCCAACTTTAAGATAGAAAGCCATCTTCTAAAGTAACTATTCCATTTGTTTTACTCCCACATAAGCACATCTATTTCTGGTACTGACCTTGACAGTAAACAGAACAACACATTTCAGAAAGCAGTGCTAACCCCCAGAACTTATGCTGCAAACGGCCTGCAGCCACTACTCAGATGTGCCTACTATGCAACAAAGAAATACAGCTGAACATTTTATCTTTACCTACTATTAATTAATTACTTTAACTAACTAACTAACTAACTAACAGTTAACTAACTAATTAACTAACTAACGTGAACAGCCTCATGCAGCGAGTGACTTCCCTTATGGTCTATATGCGAAGGCCCTGTACTAAAGGATTGTTTTTAAATGTTTGGTTTTTTTTAATGTAGGTGCTGAATTAAACAGACTTCCACTTCAAGAAAAGCCTATGAAAGCTATGCGGGTGCAAATGGTCTAAGGGAAAAAAAGAATTTGTGACATGTGTAAAGCTCTCAAAGAGACAGGGCATATTTCATCATTTTGCTTCAAAGAAGGAATTTTAAATCCTCTTTGTCACTGCTGCTGCACGCTAAGAAGCAGATTCTAACTTGTGGCACTCCCCCACCGCTAGTGCACCAGCCCCAGGCCTTGTGAGGCCCTAACCCTCATGGGAGCAGAGCACCAGGCATTTCTCTAAGTGGAACTGCTGGTAGGCTCCCATCACTGACTCGTTAGCAGTTAGCTGAGCGCTTCACCGGCCAGGGATCCTCCTCTCAAGTCCAACCCTCTCTCATGTACATTCAGCAGATGACTCAGCTTCCGTCTTCACAGGAAGTTGTGCCATGAGCCAGGGTTGGGGTGTGGTGTATCATGGAGTTGGAACGGACGCACAGCTGACCGACCCTCCAGCACGTTTTCAGAGTCCTGTACACTGCATGGGAGGAAATTAACCATCTTTGTCCTGAGAGGCAGCTGGTGGGCTTGAACTGCGTGATGTTGGGCTGGCAGAGAAATTCTTTTCTTTACCCCTAGGCCATCACAGCTCCCTTACTATCCAGTTTTCTAATTAAGTCAAGTCCGAATCAACTCATAGCTGACTCTCCACTGGGTTTTCAGAGGCAGTGCACAGAAGAGAGCTGTCCATCTTCCTCTCCAGTAGCAGCTGGGAGATCTGAACCAAGTGCCTGTGGGTTGGCAGCCAACTCTTTACCACTAGGCCACAAGATCTCCCTTATTACCCAGGAGTTAGCTCAATTCAGACTATAAAAATAACAGTCAGTCGTCTGACCACTGTCATTAAGCCCCTTCTTTCCCAGCACAGTAGTGAGATGGTTTCTTTATGATCACCTATCCAAGCCTCTTTCAAAAAGATGGATCAACACTGAGACCAGCAATGAGGTCAAGCACGTAAGAGATCCTGAGGGCAGCACAAGAATTTGTTGCTCAGAGGATCAACTCCATGGCACCTAATGCTCGAGCCCATTCATCAACTCTGGAAACTGACTGCTCACCCTTCTTCCCTTCTCTGTCTCGTGCATATTCTGCCCTATAGCATCCAATTAAGATTACACACAGATTCTCGTTCAAAACCAAGCTCCTCAACAGCTGAGGCGCAGACATAGGCGGCCTGGGGAAGGGTATGTGGGGTGTCTAGGGCCTTGGGGACAACTGAACAGTCAGTACCAGCAGGTTCTCCCAGTGTGGCACTTCCACACATGTAGATCAGGGAAGTCAGTGGACTTGGGGTACCCTGAAAGAGAGGAGGAAGGCGCAAGTAGGCTGCGGATTGTCTCTCAAAGGCACACCGGTACAAGTGACAAGCAATTACTGAAACAGCCAACAAAGTGTCTATGATATGATAAACAGTATCACTCACTGGTGGACAAAGAGTCATGAACTCCAAATCCGTGCTGTATACAGGTGTCTTAATACCACAAGACACTAAGAAATTACTTAGTGGGGGCGGGGGGCAAAAAAAAAAAAAAAAAAGAAATTACTTAGTGTGGAAAACCAAATGAACAAAGAAATCTTTCAAATGAATGCTCAACTAACTGGAGACTGAAACTGCCAGTGCTTAAAGTCACGTTCATTGTCAAGACAGACTGCACACAAATAGCCTAAAAACACACGTACTCGGTCGGCACAGACAGCAGCACTCCAGACGTGCGCCAATACATATGGCCAGAGCTCCATCCCCTGACCTCTGACACCAGGCATGTCACTACACTCAGCCAGAGTACCACCCCGAGCTGACACCAGGCGTGCGCCACTACACCCAGCCAGAGAGCAGTATTCTCCGCTAACATCAAGTTCTGCCTTAACCAATAATCCAACTTCTAAACGTGCTTTCTTTCAACACTTAAGACAATGCTTGAGTGATCTCGCTCATGCCATGAGAATTATCAGTACAGCATTTTAATTGTTTATAACACTGTCAGTACCTCACATCTCCCCTAAACCACTCTCTTCATAAATAGTGTATCCACAAAAAAGAAGTATTCCTGAAGGATACACTTTAAAGATTTACAGAACTCAACAGGACTTCCTGAGTGCTATTTTTACCAATATACACAGGTCTTTCTTTTGTAATAAAAGCCCAGACACTGTCTGCATGTCTGTAATGAGCACCTCAATCCGCCCACGCCATGCATGCGCCCTCCAGTACAGGCCAGGCTCCCTCCCCAGAGCTGTTCTGAACACACTGTGACACTCAAGCTTGCAGCTCTCTTCAAACAGGAATCTGGAGGGTGTCAGAGCAAACAAGAACCCTGGTGGTGTAGTGGTCAAAGCTCGAAGCTGCTAAGTGGAAAGGCAACAGTTTCAACACACCAGCCACTTCACAGAAAGTGCTTCGGCGTCTGCTTCCATAAGGACTCCGGCTTCAGAAAACTCACCGAGGCAGTGCTGCTGGGGCCTACAGAGTCGCTCTGTGGAGGACTAGACCCCAGTGATTCTACCCAGTGGGCTTAGTTTTAAGTCTGGTGTTAACATTCATTACTGACTACATCAAGACAAATCTGTTCTCCAACTGTAATACAAGCAAGATACAGTAAGACACAAAAACTGTCTTTCCAAAAGCGTGGTGTAAAATGGCTGTTGAAAAAAAAACTAAAATATGAATAAAAATAGCATTCTCCATTGAGAACTCTAACTGCATCCCAAGTCTGTGTGAGGTCCTATGAGCAAGCAGCTGCTGCATCCAGCCCAGTTCTTACCCCTGAGAGCTGCCAGAACTGTTCAATGGACTGGTCTTCATAGCACTAGTGGGTGAAGGCACAGACATGCTGTTGTCACTGTCCATGGACAAGTCGAGGCTGTTGTCATTCAAAGTTGCCAATCTGACACCTTCTGCTGAATGCTGCAATCAAGAAGACATTTCATCAGACTCACACCTTTGGGACGCCATTTACCTAACTGAGACAAGATTTCTACAAAGAGAACAGGTCATGGGTGAAAATCTAAAGCAAACTGGTTGTACAAGGCAAGCCTTCAGAGTCCTGTCCTCTATTTCCAAGTATCTCTGAGAGGAGCACAGACCAGTGCAGGACAAAGATACTCCACTTTGAAAATGCACTGACTGACCCCTGGCACAAATTGAGAAGCATCAGAGTAAGAAAACATAACCACCTGGGCACAGAGGCTGTGGCAGCATGCACATGAGTGTATGCATGTAAGAGTGCATCCACGTGCGCATAAGATTGACACAGTCAACATTAATGATGAACATCTTTGGAAAGTGAAATCAGAAGGAATTTTGTTTGGTTACTCATACTTCTACTTACTCTACAATAAACATAAAATTACGGAATTCCAAACCAATGACCATTTAAGTACAATTCAGTGCCACCTATGATCCTATTTCTCAGCCAAGGGAGCCTCTGAGAAAACAAGACCACTGCAGCTCTAGCGGCAGCCTCAGGTCTCCACATGGTGCAGGAACAGTGTAAATTACCCTGTGGAAACGGAACTACAGCCTATACAGAAACCCTAACACTGGCCCTGCTCCACAAAGCATTAAATAAGCAGGAAACCCAAACCAATGATTTAGTGGGATATGCTAATTTCTATGGTGGCCTTTTATAAAGTTTTATTTTTGCCATCAGAGCTATCATGATTTTAAAGTGTGTTTGTATCATGTCAAAGTCTGCCTAGCCTCAGCGTTCACTTAATTACACTCATGTTGATGAAAACATGCCTCACCCTTCCCTCCTATCTCATTGGTGAGTGGGTCCCATTTTTAGCAATAGTAAACACTCTACATTCAGCTGTGTAGTGTGTTAAAGATGTGCGTTTGACAGTAACAAGGCCTACCTGTATACGCGAGCTTATTAGCAAAGCCAGGCCTCTCAGTGATTTGTCAGTGGTGTCCTGAGCTAATGTGGCAGTTTTGTAATAATGCAGTAACCCTCCACACCATGCTCCCCATTCATGTAACAACCTGATCTTTGTTAAACAAGCGGGTGAAGCCCACACTTAGGGGAAACACCCACACCCTGTATGTACTCAGTTTTATCTCTACATGACCTGTGTGCTGCCTGTATGTGCACACATTCTGCTCTTCAGTTTCCCACGTGACAAATACCCTAACCTCTGATTTGGCACTACAGACATACCAATGTATACACAGATTAATATGTATCAGAGACAAAGAGCAGAGAAAAGAAGTACTATTTGGTTATAAAGACAGCCGTGAATACTTTTTTCCTACACAAACATGTTACCAATCTCCCCAGTGAGCATGGGAAGGAACTGCTGGTTAATGAAGTAGCTTACACAAGAACTGCCCTCAGTGTTACAGCTCTTCTAACCTAACCAGCCACCAGTGGAGACAATCTGTGACTATCAAGGTTTTAACTGGTGGTCTACACATATACACAACAGCAATTAGCCATTCTGTTTTGCCTCGGTATCTTTAATCACGTTTGGGAGCAAGAGACTACTACTATCAATTCATCATAATTATTCTAGCAACGTGCTCTAAAAGAAGCCCCAGCCAGGGAGCGAATGGCAGCGCGAAGACACCACCACACAGCCCCTGCAGTCAGACCTCCAACTCTGGTTCACACATACAACGGAGCTGCTGGCAAGTGTTTTCCTCACTGCTTCTTCTCCAAGGACAACACCTACAGGTTTCCTGACCATTAAATACAGAAAAAGACAATGCATGGGCACTACTTTACAGCAGGTAATAAAGGACTGCTATTAGTAACAGCTCCATGAGAATAATTATGGAATCTGATAACCAAACACAGGTTACTTATACAGAGAAGAAAAATTTCAAAAACCAAAACAATCAGCTATCTTATTGAATGTAGGGGTTTTTATTAATGTTGTTTAAAAAAAAATGTGCTCACTGGTTGACTGGATTCTAGGTTTGTCTGGGTTTTTTTTAAAGAAAAACAAACCAAACAAAAGACGGCAGCACAACACCCGTAAGGAGCTCTGGTGGCCTAGTGGCAGGAAGCTGCACTGCAATCCAAGAGGAGCTTGGTTCAAATTCACCAGATGCTCTGCTGGACAAGGAGGGACAATCTCCTTCTGTACCAGTCAGATCCAATTTGATGGTACACACACACACAAAAATTTAAAAACAAAAAAACACCCAAACCAACACACAAAACTAAAGGTATCTTAAAAGTAAATGACCCTGAAGAAATAAATCCTATCAAAGTTATCCAAAGAAACAGCAGACAGTTACTAACACAGGACAAAAGTACACACAACAGACTCGAGTTTGATGCTGTTGTTATATACACTGAGTCAGAACAGAACCGCAAGGGCCTCTGCAGCAGGTTGTCAGAGGCAGTAAATCACAGGAGATTAAATGCCCATCTTTCTCCCACAGAACAGCTGAAAGTGAACCACATACCTCTGCATAAGCCATCAGATCTCCCTACAGACTAAAGCAAGCATGTAGAAAAACAAGTCACAAAACAGTACTGTGAAATGCCTTTTAAAAGTATGTATTATCTGTTGATATGTACGGGTACTAAAAACTAAAATTATATGGTGATGAGGTTGTGCTGACTTAAGTGAAATATTCGGACTATATTAATATCTAATCGGACTATATTAATATCTAATCACAGATGGTTCTTTTTGCTCTGAAGACATGAAACATGGTTTTTAAGCTGCATTTAGACAAGAAAACAATCACCTAGGCCCCTGTCCCCACCTTGTTAATGACAGCAGTGTGACCACTAACAGAGGTTAAGGTGGATTTACTATGGGCCAGGCACTAGTTTAAACTCTTTACATGTATTGACTCATGAAAGCTACGCCTCGTAAGTAAAAATTCGTAATTACTTTTACAAACAAGGCTAGCCAGGATATCCACCCACTATAGAAATGGCACAGATCTCTTTAGGAAGCAGTTTGAGTGTGTCTAGGCTGTGTCTAGGCAGTGTGGTGTCAAGTTCCTGCCCTCAACATCCATGTTTTTGTACCCTGAAACATTTCACTACACATTATGGAGCAAGAGCCTTCTGGGGATTCATTCCTCTATCTTCTTGTCCTACTCTTTTCTAACAGCCAACCATTCTCTGCCACATAACTCTTCCTTCATCGTCTTCCCAAACAAAGCACAGTGTTAGGAGTTTTTAAATATGTAAAACATCTACAAAGCTGGTGGATAAAGCCCCATCTCGTTCTTGTTACTAAACATAGGAACATACACAGCCCTGGTTTATTTAGTTCTACTACTGACAATATTCCACTGAAGAAAAGAGCATCTATTTTGAAAACCACTTAAAGAAACAAACATATATGCAATCTCAGCACTGAAATATCAGCCTGCCCTAATGATTCTGCAGAAGGAGACAAGTCAACAAAAGGGCCAAGGACCCGAGGAAGCTCTTCAGGGTCAAGAGAGCCAACACTGCCACAACACGCTGCAAACACCTACTGCGATGTCTGAGCGTGGCAGAGGTGAACGCCTCTTTTACAGCATTTTGCATTTTTCAGTGATGGGCATCTAGTTTTCACAATTCACCCCATAAATACGAGGTTACAAAATCAACATTATCATCTCACTAGTTTTACTTTTTTAATGCTATTTAGATATGGGTGTGAGATTTTAAAAGGGTAGTAAAAGACTTTTCAAAGAAAAAACAGCACACATAAAATAAAGGCATGGTGAATCATCACTCGTGTGTCTGAACAAGTATGTCCAAGAGACCAGACGAGGAGCAAGACGGCAACCACGCAGCCACTGTGTCACGAGGTTTCATACGCTGGGGTTGATTTCAAAAGTACTTTCTCCATTTACCTTTTTCTTTTTCTGAAGCACATGATTAGGGAGCAGCTGATGGAGTTGCCTTCTTTTTACATGCATTGCAGCGATTTTCATATCCACCTCAAACATCTTGCTGTTTATTGCTTGCCTATAAACTATACAATTAGAAAATTGTCAACAAAATAGAAACATTTTTTTTTTTCCAAAATTAGTTAAACTCACCCGGAGAGGCTAATCTAGTTAAAGGTGCCTTTCTGATCAGTTATCAACACAATCCTCAGGGCTGAAATCTAGCTCTTGCCAACAGAGTACCACTGTCTAATACACGCTAGGTGCCTTTGACCACAAACCCAGGCACAAAAGCCATCAGTCCTTCCAGGGCAACCCTTTCACAAACTGCGGACCGGGCGAGATGGGTTTTAAACTTCTTGTTATGCTAGTAGGGTAATTTAAAACGGTAGCCCAAAACAACAGCCATCCCACCCTCAAAATGCCAATCTTACCTAAAACTGGAGCCCAAGGAATAACAATGCTGAAAATTAGAAGTCATGCTCACTATATTCTACCTAAAAACCACCTCTTCTAAATCTGTAAACACAGCTTTAAATATGATGTGAAAAAGCATTTTAAATGATGACTTACTTATTTGCAGAAATAATGAAAACCGCCACAGAGTGAAAGGAAAAACTACAGATATATACAAATAATTTTGATCTGAAGAGCCAGCACCCAAATGAAAAGATGGATACTGCCCATCATCGAACAGGCATGTACCAAGCTTCTGTAAGAGTAACGTAGTCATCAAGACATCCCAGAGCCCACATCCAAAGATGCAGAACACAATCAGCAAACAGAACAGACACAAAACAGGTAAAAAGCTTCCTCATTAGGTACTGGACAAAGGAAAGAAGGCAAGGAGCCCAGCCTGGAAAGAGGAGGCTTAAGTGAGGAGACATGTATTGGTCCCAGGAGAGCAAATGTGGAAAAGCAGAGCACACACCTGAGTGTCAGGAATCAGAGATCTGCCGGTTGGGAATGGAGACCAGTTAGGGATGGAGACTGTCTCCCTCCCTTCTCTGCATGCTAAAACCCAAACAGTCCTAACCCAACTCTTCCCACAGTGTGGTAGGCCATGAACCCTGAGTGGAAGGCGTGGCCAGTGAACCCTGCTGTCTGTCAGCTGCTGGAAGGTTCGGTCTGACAGGCAGGCGCTATACAGCAGAATGAGAGTCCTGTGCTGTCCTCATTCAGGAGCATTCATCTTCTGCTCCACATGAGGAGGGCCACAGGGCTGTCTCTCATCACCAACTGCAACCCAGGTCTGGTGGGGTCGATTACAGAATATGAAGTCTTATCAAGTGCGGGTCCCTCCTAGCCCGAGCCACGTTAGGTCTCATAGACTAGGCCTGAACAAGGTGGATGTGTCCACTGCAGTGAGGATGTGGACTTCTGTTCTGAGTGGGAGAGGGCACAATTACACACCCAATCATTGGGATTCCAGTTAAAAACAGCTGATAGGGACTAAGAACAAAAGAAGAAAGCTAAGGCATGGACACAGCGAGGACAGTAGCTGGCTGAGTGGGACAGGGACTACCAAGAGGAAGAATTGCAATTTACTCTGAAGGCTGAGGGCAGAGGAATTTGAGTAACAGAGGGAGAAGAGAGAAAAAACAAAAGTCAAGGTCACCTCCAAGGTGTCTAGCTTGAACAACTAGAAGGCTACTGTATCATTAAGAGAAATAAAAAAGACTTGGGGAGAGGCCGTTTTGGAATGGGGCCTGAAGACTTCTATTCTGAATGTGGTAAGCCTGCTAAGGTACTCCATGAATGCTTAAGGATACAGGATCATGAAATCACTTTTCCCCTAGAATACCTCTGTGGATGGTGGTGGCTGTTTGCCCCTGAGTAGGAACAAGCTCTTAGCTGACCCTGTACTGGGTTTTCAGAGGCAGTAAATCACATGGGAGGAGATTGCCCATCTTGTTCCTATGGAGCAGCTAGTGAACCTGATCCATGTGCCTTTAGGTTGGCAGTATGATTCCTTACCACTAAGCCACCAGAGAGAGCTCTCTAGAACATCTGTAAGTTCCTCAAACATCCCAATGGTTTGGTAGGACTATCTCTGACCAAACAGCTCAACCTGGATGGAATATACAAAACTAAACCTTCACTTCTCTCTCCGACACCCTAGTTGAAAAATCATTTAAGTAGATGCTGGGATTTTTACTTAGGAAAAGTCACTTTTAATGGTGTTCCACAGAAGACGGTATCTTAGAAACCTACAGTGAGGTCTCTGCTGTCACAAAGATTAAGGGCTGCCATTAGCCAAGACATTATATAACCTGCAAGAGTTCCTCTGAATCAAGAAGGGACCCCTGCCCCGCAGCCTGTGCTCTTATAGACGAAAAACCAACCACTGGATTACTCAAACCAAGAGCCAAACTCAATTTCACTAAGAAATCAAGTATTCCGAACCTAATTTTCCAGGAATGCTACTGGGGAAATCAAAGTTACCTTTAGCTTTCCTGGAATCTTTCGTCATCACTAGCAACATTGTAGACAGTGTCTGAATCTCTACACCTAAGCCCCTAAATCAGCCAGCAGTCACAAAGATTACACTGTCAGGGGCTCTACATACAATGTGTCCACCTGGTCCCTCAGCACTGTGCCTTCCAACACCTTGATGCATGCCAAATACTTCAGGACCAAGACACACTGTTTCTCCTTTGTAAATACTGCTAGTAAATGATACTTTGATCTTACCATTATTACATTTCATAATGAAATAGCAAACATTAGGGGGGAAAGTATCATATAGCATTTAAACCTAAAACTAACTTTTAAATAAAAATTCGTTATGAAAAATTAATTATTCTACATAAAGACTTATTGTTAGGTGACATCTAGTCAAGTACAGAGACCCTAGTAAGATCTAAAGACTTAGCATTATTCAATTTTCCCCTTTAAATAACTAGCTGTGACTATAAACTCAAAGTTGCAAGCTTCAAAACAAAAAATAGGTAACAAAACCATTTTTCTCTCCCTCTTTCTTCTTGGCTGGTTAGGATCAATGTGCATATTGTGGAAAACACCACTTACTGAAAGTAGGAAGGGGAACAGAGAGGAAGGTCTGAGAGAAGAGTGAGACACACGTCCCTCTGCTTCCCTGAACCTTGAATTTTTCCATTCGGCCTTGGTTTTCATCAAATACACCCACTTTCTGGTCTTGAACTGAAACTTACTACCTTTTTGCTCAGGGTCAATCTGGAATGTCAACCAATTCACCTGACAACTAGGATATCTTCCTCAAATTGTCAGAAGTTGACCTTCATGTTTCTAAGGTTCAAGGCTATGAAGGCAGTCAGACATATGCATTCATGGATCCCTCCTAATTTCCGAGCACTGTGAGAAAAGCAAATGTAACATTGCTCTGCTGACTTCAAGGCCACCGCTGCAATCAGGATGGTTTATATACTGGAGATTTCAGAAACTACATGGCATTAGAAATTACTAATTAAGAGAAAACCATTTAAATAACCACTCTGATAATCACTGTTTCCTGAGTTACTTCAAGTTGGTCCTTAGATGGAAAAAATTCAAATATGCGCGCATGTAAACGTTCTGGTCATCCAAACAGAGACATACCTGTATCGGTGAAAGACTGAATATCATAGGTGAGATCAACACTGAGGTTTTCCGAGTTTTCTGTTTTCTTAAACACTAACCCGATCACCCACATTGTACGAAATTCTTCCCTGTAAAGTGAGAATATCATTACTGAGCTTTATTAGGATGTCATAAAAACTACCATAAATAGGGCTGACAAACTGAGCTAAGTGGAAAACGTGAAATACAAGCATAGAAACAAACTAAGTTCTAAAGCTAGACCTACAATTCAATTAAAAAACCCCCCCTTCCCTTCTCACCTCCCACACTTTCTACTCCTATTACTTTATGATCAGAGTCCCAGGGTGAAAAGACCCTTACAACCCAGACCTGACAGCCAACCTTCCTGATGAGTCTAAACTAAGGCAGGAGAGCAATGAAAACCTACGTTCTAACTTAGAAAGGATAATGCTGTTTAAGAACAATTCAAACAAACAAAAAGGATTTCCTAGATTTAAAAAAACAAAACAAAAAACCACACATTAACTAAAACTTGTATATGTAATGTTTGAGCCTTTGAGATTCCGTTAATGAAATCCCAAGAAGAGGAATTTTACAGTAACATAACAGCAAAAACTGAGCGAGCTCTGGTGGCCTAGAAGCAAGAAACTGCACTGCAATGCCAGAGGTATGTGGTTCGAATCCGCCAAATGCTCTGCTAAAGAAGGAGGGCCAATCTCCTCCTGTATCAGTAAGATCCAATTTGACGGTACACACAAAAAACAATAAAATTTAAAAATTGTCTTAAAAAACCCAACCACACAAAACAGCAACACCTGGTGGTTCAAAAGCTTCAGAACATTTAAGATGTATCTGAATCACAATCTTTTACTAATGAACATGGCAGTCAGACTGCCCCAGCCAATACCTCTTTCACACGACTGCAGGAAGACAAAGGGGGAAAAGCACAGCAGTCTGGGGCTCTGCATTGTGCAGCAAAGAAAACCCAGGCTGAAGAGCTCCTGTCGGCTGCAGGTCCCCACTTTCCTTTTACAAATTAAAATGTCCCTCACTGATACGCCTCATCCTCGAAATGAGTCTCAAGTAATACACAGCCCTTCACCAGTCAGGGACCCACGAAGACCTTGTAGAGATCAAGCTAACCTGCACACTGCTGCAGAATCCGTCACAAGGCGGATTTCTGCACAGTCAAAATCAAAAGTACATCCTTTTAAAAAAAATGAGAAGACAGCAGCAATTCTGACAAGTGTAGCGGAGACAGAGATGAGGAGGAGAGCTGGAAGCAGCACTGTGCCTGCCAGTCCTGGTCAATCTGCAGAGTGGGGACTCTAGCTGGTTACTTTGTCCTTTGATTATCATCAGAAAAACAACTCCATAGTTGGCTTTTGTAAAAAAAAAAGCTTTCTGCTTATCCACCTTTATTCCTAATCTAGACAGCCTAAACTAGAAATTTCAAACTGGCCATGGGCTACAGCCAATCAACAAAATACTGACAGACTAGCTACTTCAAAATATCACTGACAGAGCATCAGAGTAAAAACTAAAAAGGGGATGTAATCAGAAGACTCCTTACTTGTCGGGGTTTTCTTTGGGTGCTGGAAAGGACTGGGGGTTCACATGCGCCAGTGTGATGAATTCGTTCTTCTCCAAGCTTCCAACCAGGATGCGGATTTTTGATTCCACCAAGCCCACCCTGGACAAATGTCACTTAAAATTATTCAAAGTTTCGGATGTATTTTTTAAAAAATCATAAAACCAAATCTATTTCTATAAAGTAGGAGTATGGGGAAGATACCCCCCCCCAAAAAAAGATCTAGACACAGTTCACCTGTCTGACCAAGATGCGGATGACACTCAAGGTTGTGTTCTACCCCCAAATGTTGTGGAGAGAACTTTGCTCCCAGGAGGGAAAAGATACTCAACTACATGTCATTCAAAACAGGAAGTCACAGGCCAGTGCCAATACTCAAAAGAAAATGCAGCAAGCTAAAAAAAGTCCCAAGTTTTATAAAAACAGACTTTATATAGCTAGGGAGGTATCTTTATAAAGAAAAATAAGTATGTAAAAGTTAAATATGGATCCTCTGGTTCTTATACTTCCCTCACAAGGATTCAAAACTCAACTCGCTGCTGCCAAGCTGGAACAGACTCCGTACTAACCCTCCAGTGGGTCTTCTGAGGCCATGACTAACACAGGACACTGCCCATCTTTCTCCCAAGGAGCTGCTTGGATTCAAACCATCAGAGAAGCGCTGCCTTTGGGTTAGCACTGCAACTCCCTACCAACTATGCCACCAGGACTCCTACAAATCAAACAAATAAATGCCTGACGGACTCCCACCTCCTACTGTGTCCTGAGAGCATTCGAGCCATTTAGCAATTTCTTTTTCCTATGAAGGCTAGCCTTATACTCACCATTCGAGGCGCTGTTTTTCTGTTGGTGCACTTGCTAGAAGTACAATATAATGCCTTTGGAGATAAAGACAACATGCTATTTATTTTATTTACATGCTTTGTGCAGGACATTAAAACCATAATGTAACAAGCTTCTTATAGCTAAAGATCAACATAACTCAGCAAAAGAGTGGGAACTACAAGATAGACAGGAACTCATGAAAGACAAATTTCCTAAGTTTCAATCTACTGGTGGGCTTAATTTTTCTGACCAAGACGGTAATTTTATGAATCATGAAATGAAAAGCCTCTTTAGTTCAAGGAAGCTACATAATCAGTAACTGAAAACTTTGTTCCATGACCCTCGAGTTCTTTTCATGAAAACAGCCCTGGAGATCTGGCCCTAAGAATATGTTCCCTGAATAGAAGTAAAACATCAGGAACTCCAAAAGTAGTCTCAAATACATTATGCCTTTTTAATTCCAAGTACAAGTCAGCACAATTAAAGGGATACAGACGTTAAGCCCTGGGACTTTTCTGGTCAGAACTAATGATCTCTAACGTGAGACCAGAAAACACTCTCTAAACTGGTTACAACACTACCATGCTAAACTAGAAAAAGGTGAGTTTTCAGTTCAGAAAATACCACAACCAGCTACTCTTAAATATTTAAGACCTCTTCTGCCACCCCTCATGCTGAACACACTGAGCTCAGTCACCCTGGGATTCTCTTCTACATGCTGGAATCCCACTTTTCCCACAAGCAACCACCTCAGAAAGGAGTGGTGTCGCTGCTCCTCATGGGCAGCAGTCTGCAAAAGGGGGCAGGTGTCCACATTTTTAACTGAGTCTGAGACAGTAATAGTGTTTTCTGACCACCACATTTTACCAGGAAAGTCTTTGACCTAGGCCCCAAAAAAGGAACTACTCAAGTCCAGTTCAAGCAAGCAAAGGCAGAACATTCTAACAAGGAGACTTGTTTTGGGAGGTGAAGCAATTTTAACCACACTCCCTACGATTAATTATTTATGCTCACAGATATTTGGGAAATGGTCCAAAGAGTCAGCAGCTGTAATGCTGAACAAGTTCCTTATCTGTGAAACACAGGGGGACCTGTCATACTGGCAGATAAAATGAAGCTCCAAGTTCAAAATGAGCAAACCTCCAGGACTCCAAGTCCAAGGCCACGGAGGCAAGGCGTACATGTGAGAACACAGGTCAGTCTGCTGCCTGGGTTCAAAGGTCCTTACCTCTGTCCACAGGCTGGACCTGAGCCAGTACAGGCACCCTATGCACAGGAGCACATGGTGCACATGCATTTCATGTCACCACAGAAAAAAAATGAACGCTGAACTGCACAGTCCGGGGCACCCTAAGAATGGAATCCTGATGAGCTCAGTGATGTCATATACAGTCTCTGTGAAGGTCAAACGGTGGTAAGGCATTTTTAAGAGTAGGGAGGAGACTGAAGGTCTCTAAAAAGAGGTGACAACTAGGGCAGTGATGCATACAAAGCTGGCACACACAGAAATGACCAATGCCGCACTGCCCGGGGTCACCTGGACCTGGCTCAATCCTCACCCCATGACCAACCAGGTTGTTCATGAGGTTGTTCAGCAACTGCTTAAATGTGAAGAACTTTATCAAAGTGAAGCATACTTCAATATGTGACTAGAACATTGCTGGATCGGACAAGTTTAGTATTCTGAAGCCTAAAGAGGGTCAAGTGCCTAGTTTGCAAGCACAAAATTAACAGCGTGAAGTGATCCTGTTCTCTGTGCTGCAGTTAAGTCCTTCACTCAACCAAAGCTAAGCAAATGTGACATGGAGACAGAAAACAGTCACTTCACTAAACAGAAAGAACTTGCCCGTATTCCTCTATCAGCCATTAGGCATTGGTATTCAAAACAAGGATTCATCAATCTAAGAAGCTGGAGGCGAAAATTCCACCTACATTTCATTAAGGTTTAAATATCCTAACTAGATTATCAGTTAGTTCCTAGTCTTCCTATCAGAGTACAGAAAGAAATACCTTTAAATTTAGACTCTAGAATGTGAGATAACCCAAAACTGTGATGCCTCATTTCAGTTCCTTCTAAACAGGACCCATGAACGAACCAGTCTTATCCAACAGAGGTAATCTTGTCAGCTGCTGCACACTGCCACCTACTCCTCTGCACCATGGAAGGCGCTCCAAGGCCGTCAAGAGAACCCTCAAGTCTGAGTGCAGGGCAGTGGGTCCACAAACGTAACGAGTCACGCTGCTGTGGTCAGGCATCTTCAAGTTGGAACGGAATCAGGCTGACCCTCCAATGGCTTTTCCTAGGCTGTAAATGCACCGATGCACCGAAGCAGAGCGCCCATCTCTGTCCTGAGAAGCAGCCGGTGGATTTAAACTGTCTGACTTTGGGTTGGAAGTGCACTAGGTCATCAAAACTTTCTGAAGATTAAGACAGCTAATCCTGAGAAACTATGCTAACTTCCAATAGAGTATACAATTGTTCCAAACACATTAAACCCTACTTTTAAAATATCTCATTTACTTGCTTTTACAACAAAATAATCCACCATAAAGTACTTGGAAATGAGGTTTTCTCGGTGATTTCATCTAATATTTTACGAGCAGATTAACAGAGCTCAGCTATGTACTGAAAAAAAAATCTCATTTTTGTCAAAACTCTAGGACTAAGTAACCTAACACCAAGACTTATCACTCCTAATAAAAGGTTTTAAGACTAAATTATTTTCTACATCCTGTGAAATTACAACCTATTAACCACAACTTTCTCAGAACGAATTTTTCCCTATTATCTTTTGTTTGCTAGTGAAATAAACACCCCAAAATCACTATTCAAATTCCCCAGGTCGGTTAAGTGTCAAGTAGCTTAAAAGGGAATCAACTTTTCCCTTAGAATTTAGAATTCTACCAAGCAATGCCACTATGTTCCTCAGAATCACTTCCTCAGATGTCTTAAAAGAATGTGCCTCCAAGAGGACCTAACTGACTCAGGGGAGAGTTAAGAATTTTAAATCGAATATATATTTAATCTCTGGAGCATTTCATATGAGAGTAGGTCTTAAAACTTCAAATCTCTATTTCCCATAGCTTACCAATAGTAAGCATGACAACTTAAAGAAGGGGATGGGCTTCTGTGGAAAACTAGAAACAGAACTCGGTGCCAGCTTACCGTCTCCACGTTTTACAGTCTCTGTCCTCTCAGAACTTAACAGTTCTAATTCACAATTCCCGGACAGATTTTCATTTGTTGCTATTTCCTCACAACTAAGAATTTTTATACTACCTTAACCTAAAGATTTGCTTATTTCAGATTTCAATCATTTAAATCACATGTTAAGAAATATTATACTCTATTAACCAACCAACTAAAAATCTTGTAAATGCTACTTAGCGCAGATTTGTGCATCTTCTAACTTGAAATAAATTTTTAAACCATCATCTCAAGGTTCTAGCAACTTAAACTTGTTCTAATAAAGTAACACTGACTTTTTCTGACATACATGGAAGCTATGGAAATGGGTACTTTAAGAGCCTCACTCACCAGCCTCCCATTCTCCTCCTTGGTGCTTGGGATTTACAGATGCTGGTCGGCTTTCCTGCCATTTTACTCCTCTGTTTACAATTTTCTATCATTTTATAATTCTGTGTAGGTATCAGCCTATATATTTATTAAAAATGCTTAAAAGTATTTCTCTCAACATTTGACTAAAGTGGAAAACAAAGATGACTTTGGACCCAAACAGAAAAGCCCAATTTATAGTGACACACTTCACACTCAACCTTAGGGTCTTTCAATCTTAAGTGACAACAACACAGCATCCCTAAACAAAATAATCAAGCTGGCTCTGTCCCTGCTCGTCTGTTCATGCAAAAGATACAGAAACAAAACACAGAGACATCATGAAGGTCATCATCTTGGTTTTAATTGGGGAAATAGCATAAAGCAATCTTTCTCAGATTATTACAAAATACAATTCAACAAAAGATCAAAGGTCAGAAAAGTTTTAAAGCTTTAAAAATTTTTAAGTAGGCCTCTAGAAATTTTCAGCTCAGGGGCAAATAAAAGTTCAAGTCCATGTTTTTGTAAAAGTAAGATTTATTCAACTTACAATTTTCTTCAAACCCAGCACAAATAAACAGGTCTTTAACCTGTACTAAAGTATTAAAAGCATCAGAGAAAAATCATTACTAAAAAACAGTACACCCACTTAGAACTCAAGAAAAGGGGGACTTATTAACACTGGGAGCAAATGGCCAGGGATGTGCTGTAATTATTAAAACAATATATACTGGCACTGTATTAACTTTGTCTCTCTCACAGATAATATTGATGCTGACCAGTTAAACTACTTAAAAATGCAGACTCAATGAACTGATAAGGACTAGCCTTCTGCCAAGACAGAAAAACTAAGTGATATGGGCCTCACTGACACAAGCCTACAGAACTGAGGTGATGATGTTTGGAATTCAATCTAAACAGGCAGCAAAACAGTAGGGGAAACGGAGGGGCAAGTAGAGAAGATAGGAAAGGCTGACTAAGGACGAGAATAACACTCTGCAGAAGTAGTTTCAAGGCAAATCAAAATCAACCTAGCAAGAATAGAGGTCTAGGCACGATCATTAAACCATTATAAGAGCATAAGAGCAACACATCCAACATGCCTTAAAATACATACTTGTACTTTTGAAAGAAGTTTGGAGCTTCAAAAAGTTTGGACCACTCTGCCTTACTCAGCAAAATTTCATCTGTGATAGCAAGACCTAAATTAAAAACACATTAAAATGTTTGTATGCTTGTCAACAAACCCAGAATTCTATATTTTACATATCCCACGCATTCAAAATCCTCAAGTAATTTTAAGCAGCAGAAAGGTCAGCTCATGATTTAGCACACACAACATTCATTCACACATACACATTCTGAAAGCAGTGTTCTGGTCACGTGCCAGCTTGCCAACACCATGCACAGAGAACATCTTTGCAAACACTGAAGCCGTGTGGCCTCCTGAGAAAGAACAGTGTCTATAATTATACACTCTGCTTCTTTTCATTGTTAAATTCTAAAAGGCCAACACATTCCCATGATAGCTCTTCTATTAAGAGACATTTTTCACTTTGGTACTTTAAGAAATGCAAAGAATTTCCTTAACTATGTCCCAGCCTCATGTACTTAAAAAAAAAAAAAAGACTGGTTGGCAATATACTTTCAAAGTATCAGAAGTGGAGTTCTTCTAAAGAATGGTCAGTCTGGCCCAGATCTTGCTGGGATTTCTTTCCCAGAAGGGCACAGCCTGCTTCTTTCCTGGTCCCCACAGGGTATACAAGTGTGAAATCATGTGGCATGGCATAGTTAGTGCAGCACTGAGCCAGTCTATAAAGGTCCAGCTGTAGAGCTGACTTTAAAGGCTGATTAATCCTCTAACATAAAGTCAGAAGACCTAAAAAAGCTGAAAATGAATTTTATTATGCCAGTTCTCAAACATGCTGTCATCAATAAAAGAATGCTAACTCACTTCGAGAACGTGCGATCCACTTAAACTGCCCAGTGGCCTACCAAGCCTAGAACAGTACTAAGTCCTGTGTGTACAAAGAACAGAAGGACAGACACTTACCTTGCTTGAACTCCTCAACCATGACCATCCGTGTTGAAACGGACACATTGTACGTGGAGTTCTGCTGTGGGTAGGCTGGTGTAATTATAGGCATAAGATGGTACCTATCACTGGGATTTACCTATATACAACAACAGCCAATCAGTTTCTTCAAGTACACATTCATCAGACACTTGGACTTTTTTATGCCTTGTTAAACTGTATCAATGATTACTCTTTTTTTTTTTTTTTTTACTTCATTCACAGCTGGAGTTGAGAAAGAAAAACCACATAAGGAGACAACGTTTTTATAGGAATTCTTCAGAGACTCAGAGATTTGGTCTGAACTATTGGAGGTGGTTCTCATCTCTCGGCCATGACCAATTCAGCCACCTTACTACAACAGCGTTGCTGCTGAGCAAGACAGCTCCTCCTGGGCATCTAGTGATGTTTAGTTTTTCTTTGTTCAACAACAGAACTGGGGATGCACACATACAGTTACACTTCAGAGAAACAGCCCATTTCCATGTAAAACTAGCTTTTCACAATTCTGTAATCTACCTTCTACTTGTAAAATCTATAAAAGCACTAACCAGTGAGGAATCGACATATAACACCCGAGAATATTAACTCAAGACAATGAGATGATTTAATAAACTATTCATTCTAATCTCGTCATGATAGCAGCGGAAATTATAATCCTGAAAATGTATTTGATGTAACTGTAGAGACCTAAAACAGACAGGTTTTCCATATAGTACTGAAGTATTAACGCAGAAAATAATGAACTCCTATAAACTAGTATCTTAAATTTTTCTTGTGAATTAACAAAATTTTTATGGTTAACATTTAAAATGTAAGCAGCAATGATGCTAACTTGCCAAGAGACCATACTGAAACTTCCTCCAAGTCCATTTTTACAATTACATCCCAACTACAGTAACACTGCTTACAAGTTATGTGCCTTCTGGAAAGATTATGCAGCACCTTTTCTACTATAACCCAATTTTAACAAGAATATTTAGATTCAATAAAAAACCAGGGGTTTTCAGTTAACCTTTTATTTTTAAAAGTGCAAATGCCCACACAACTTTGTCTTACAAAGTAGTTCTATTTTAAACGTTAATGAAGTTGGTACCAGAAACTATGTACAATTAGGTGGTTTACAGGGTACATAATTATGCTTCACACATTAGAGGACAACAGAGTTGAAGTTATCTAGAAGAAAGGGTAATACAGACATGGTCACTCATACGCAAAGATGAGAAATCTCCCTGCAGTTTATGCAGTTGATTTTTACTTGTTATTGCAAACTGAATTTGTAGGGGAAAAAATAATACACTAACCCTTGGGTCCCACACAGGCAAATTAAGATTGCATTCTTCAGGCTGTTTCAATAGCACTGGATTTGGCCATTCCCTGTTTAAAAAGAGTGTAGCACTTGATAAGACTATAAGATATTACCATCTAAGCCTATTCTGTAAAAGACACAGCATCTGTGAATGTGACTGTCATCCTTTGTTTCGCTCTTCCAGTTTACACGCTCTGGTATTCCTATCTCACAATATAGGACTACTCAGACTACTTCTCTGGTAAATACGCAATTAAGACTCTTTAAGTCACATGACAAAAATTTCCCAGATTCAAGCCAAACACCTCTAACTAAAAACAAACAAAAAACTGAATAAATATCAGTAAAGTGCTTTGGCTGGAGCAACACTAACCTAAGACATGTATGTACGTGCCCCCACCACCACCCCCAGGAAAGGCTAACTCTATGAGGCAAAATCTTATCTCTGCACTACACAACTGAGAATTGCTTAGTTCTAATTATATGCAAAAGTGGGCAAAACAATTCTAAAAATTGGAATTTTCTCCACCTGTTAAGTCATGAAATGTGTGGTAAAATTTTTGAGCTGTGAAAGACACTGTTTGCAAGACATGGCCTATAGGTTAAACTACTTTACTCAACAGAACAGGCAAAAACTAGACAACATTTGCCATTAACATCCAGGTCAGCTTTTAAAAATACTTCCCTATGTATGTGTAAAAGAGAATTCTGACATTCTTTAATTTTCTCACACATGATCATACATGCTTCAGAGCTATCAAATCTCAGTATGTACTGATAAGTGTAGCAGTTCTAAATTGTCATTCATCTCCAATAACACTAATATTATTTTTCAGTAAAGGCAAGAGTTGGCAGAAATAGACAAGAACTTAAAATCACTAAGATAAATCAAATTTTTTAATTAAAACATCAAGAATTTTCATATTTTGGGGATAAAACAAATATGAAATACAATAATGTGTTATCTTACTTATTAAAAAAGAAATAATAAAGGACAAACATACATCTTGAAATGACTAATATCAAAGGGATGATCAAAGTTAATTCCTCCCCCCGGGGATTTTGATTTATTCTTTTTACATGCAGATAAACCACTAAAATGGGGTGAGGGGCAGGGGTCAAAAAGCTAATGGCTTGTGGAAAGAGGAGATGCAGATGGCGGTGTTCTGCTGTCCTCTCTACTCACTAACTAGAAGAACCAACAGCACCTGTCTCACTATCCTGGGAGAAGTGGGGAAACCAATCGAGGTCTGTCATGTCACAAACAGGGAGACCACCTGCTCAAGGCTCCCTACATCACCACTTCATCAACTAAACTTTTCATCTAAAAGCAACTGCAGAAATGTCATAGAAATAAGACTAAACTTCAGTGTCTACAATCAATTTTATTTTAATAGAATCTAAACACATACCATTTAGAAAATACCAAGAAAAATTTATGTACAAGAGTTGATGCTATTGCATTTGGATAAAGCTGGCAAGTTCTTGCTACTAGCATAGCCCAGGAAACACCACCGAGGAAACCTAATATATTGGAATAGATGTTGTGGCCTGTTGATAAGGGAAAAGCAAAAAGATGCATTAGTAATGAACAAAAGTGCAAACCTTTCAATAAGCTAGCCAACAAATTCTGAACTCACGTTTGGCCCACAGTTTGATAGCTCTCAGAGTTAACCTGAAGTTGTCAATGTTTGGTACTAGATGCAAAATTTCATCGGTTACCCTGCAACCTGATTAATAGGAGCGAAAAACAGAACATTAAAATTATCAAAAAGTTTATGATAGACTTCTTTTAACTTTTCTGAGACTGATGTCATATTAAGAACTTTCACATATTAAAGTCAGTAATGGTGAAAAAGCAAATAAAAGCCTAATAAACTTTTCCTCCACCAAGAACTACACTAAATCAAAGAAAACAGAATTATAATCTCTCTCATCTCACACTTGTCTATTCAACTTTTTCCCATGTAGGTTCAGAGAGCAAGGCTTAAGCCACATGAGTTTCCAGTAATTGTTCCTAAGAGCATATGCTAATAACACATTCTTCAAAACCAACTCTCCTGACCTGAGTCGAAAGTATTAGAAAAGTGTCAGAATTCACCAGGTGCCTCATTTGTATCACAGCACAAAACCCAGATCATCTTTTTAAGCACCATTTTTATGTGCCTTTCAAGATGCCCAGGTAACACAGTGGTCAAAGCTCTCTGCTGCCAACAGAAAGGATGGTGGTTCAAATCCACCAGTCATCCAAGGCACTCCACTGTCATAAAGGTCACACTCTTGCAAACTTTACTGGGCAGTTCAACTTCAACTTCATCCGGTAGGACTGCTATTAACTGGGCTCCACAGCTGAGAGTTTGGGGTTTTTCTGTTTTGTTTTTTAACCTTTTATGAAAAGGTGCGCTGTTCACAGTAAGAAGAAAGCAGAAACAGTGTAAAATATCAATGAGCAGAACAGATTACAGGATGTCCCTCTATGCCCAATAAAATAGAATGCATTTTGTCTGACTTATCATGAAAGAACAATATGGCTACAAAAAACTTCAGTACAAAATAACTACTTCATGTCTGACAAAAATTGCTATTATGCAAAGTGAAGAAGGATGGGACATACCATTAAGACTTCTTATGCATCTTATATCTAAATTTTTAAGCAGACTGTCATCTCGTAAGTCCAAGTCTTCTGGAATAGTCTGCAGTGCTAATCTTGCAAACAAAATATCAATCTAAAAGAAAAACAAAACAGAATATTCCATGTCTATATAATTATTTATAAGGATTTTCTATAAATGCTTTATCATTGAGCTATCTCATGGATTATGACACTGTCCACAAAAACTCCATTCTGATTATGGGCATTTTAAACAGTGTTACAAAAACATACAAAGCAAGTCCTCTAAATACTTTGTTGTCATGTTAACCACAGTTTGATTATCAAGTCTGTTAAATCCATCTTCCTGATTATGTAAAGTTAGGTGTTCTGTAGGAACTGTGTCAAAATAAATATTCTTTATTTACTGAACAACTACATCTTAGTAAAAAAGTGAGCACCTGGTAAATGAAACAATTATGTTCGCAATACTGTAGTTTGATTTCTCCAAGACTTAGTTCTGATTAGGGAGCTCTGATGGTTAGTCTGTAGGGCAAAATCAACCAGCAGCTCCAAGGGTAATCTCATCCTGTGCCATTTACAGCCTTGGAAACCCACTTGGGGGTCAGTTGTGGGTCAGCCCAACTTGCATGGAATGCAAAGAGTTTCTGAGAAATTCTGAGTAACATAAATGGAAGGATGACACCAAGAATTAAATCATAATTTTAAATACTTAAAGAATTTAACTGACACCTCTCAACTGTTTTTTTTATTTTTGAAAACATTTTTTTTTTTTAAATTTCAAATAGCAAAACTCCCCCCCCCCATGTAATTTTAATGAAAGGTTTAGGGTTTGTTGTGGCTTTTTGTGGGTTTTGGGGGGGGTTCTGGGGGGAGGTTAAATTTATTATTTTTGTGTGTACCATCAAATTGGATCTGATGGTACAGGAGGAGACTGCCCCTCCTTCTCCAGCAGAGCCTCTGGTGGATTCAAACCACGTATCTCTGGGATTGCAGTGCAGCTTCTTGTCACTAAGCCACCAGAGCACCCTTGTTGTTGCTTTTTAAGAATGGAAAAATAGGACAAAACACCGTATCCCAAATTTGGTCATTATTTCTGGGTTGGGCCTTTCTGGAAGTTGCACATTGCTATAAACTAGCCATTTTTAAGATCACTTTAAAGGGAGCTATTTTAAGAACCTTGTAAAAATTACTTAGACCTACACCTACAAAATGAGTAGATGAGTTTTTGTTGTAGATTCCCAATGCACCAGATTCCAAAGCCCCACAGTTCAATGTAGAAAGAAATCAAGGTTCAATGATCAGCACAACTGATTTACTCACTCAGTTAATGACACTAATGGAAACAAGAGTTAGGACGAAATTACTCATGAAATGGTCCAAATGGTAATGCAATCCTGAAACACTATTATTTTATGGAATATACATTCAACTGTCATTTGACTCTCATACTCATCCAGAAAAATTTATTCAAGTTATTCTCCCATGGTGGGGGAAATCTATTCTTTACTGGTAATCTTGTTTTGGAAAATAGAACATCAATTGATTTTGATTTTACAAAGCTGTTTTCTGAATGAATGCAGATGGTGATCCTTTACCAAACTTAATACTGATTTTTACTCATTAAGGTCATTCCTCCAACTATGCATGTCAGATGAAGTTGAGCACAACTACTATTCTACCAATTTCCAAAATTTTGTATTTTCACTATTACTATTGGCGAGTTAAAAGCACTACTAAGCCTTACTTATGTAGAAGTAACTCATGATGCATCACTGTCAGTTTTGTTAAATTTACTTTGACTACATATGTTAAAAACAGCAAGGAGAAACATGTTCTTTTAATCTGAACTTGGACGCTCCTAACTCTCCTAAAGAACAAGGCAGTCCAAGCATGGCCACACTAGTCTTTTCCCAACATCTTCATGCTATCTTCAAGAAGATCCAGCATCACTTAAGTCAGAGCAAGGCGGTACTTGCAAAGATACACTGCTACCCCCTTAATTAATGAGACCAGAAGTACACAAAATCTGCAAAGGAACAACTGTCAAGTAAATGGCTTTGTAGCAGCAATTCATAGCCCTCATGGTTCATTAGTTCTAACTCTATGTGCCAAATTTTACTTTGACACTAAGGATATGTTAAGAGAGTGTTCTACAAAATAAGAATACATTGCATTCTCATTAATATTGCAACCAATTATTTTAAATATTTTAAATAGTAAAGTCTTAAAGCAACGACATTTAATCTATTATCAATCAAAACTGGTAACAATCTACAGCAAATAACAACCATGCAGGTCTCACCTCTATCCCATCAAAACACAGCTTGATGACAGGCACAAAGGCCTCTTCCACAGCCTGAAAGAAAAGCCCACAGTCAGTACCTCTGACATTGTAGCCATGTCCTAGACCAGCTTTAGGGTTTTAGAATAAATAGGACATTTTCAAAAAGTTTAATCACATCTGATATAGGACTCTGGAATCAGACAGTGTCAAACAAAGCCTCATTTTACTCATGAAAGGAGTGATCATGACCACGTTCATTTCCTTTTAGCTTTAGTTTTCTCGTGTACTAATGAGACCACAGTTCTTGCTTTCACTCTTGCTAGAAAGATTAAAATGCAAGAACATGCATGAAGTGTATCACACTGAGGCCAGCACATGATGTCTGCACTACAAAATGCAAAGGACTACAGGAATTTCTAGAACTTCTCTGCCTTTAGCCACACTACACTCACTCTTAAATCTTTTACTTCTTCCTGTAATTTCAATTTATCATAAAACGAGGTGAAAAAGTCACTTCGATCCACATGTCTTGGTGCAACACACAATGCATCAATATCAGCACCTGAAAAAGAGAAACCCGTCAGTATTGTAAGAAAGCTCGTTTTTCGTCTTAACAAGGAACTATGCTGTAACCTGTTAGCATTTCATTGGTAAGCCTCTAAAAAGAAACTACTACACTCCTCTCAACAAAAGTATCACTCAGTATAGGACAAGACTGTTTTCCTAGTGCAGCAGCCTCTCTCTCTCCAGCAGCCCAAGCGAGCCAGGAGGCTGAGAGTTGGGTGAGTTACATCTTTATGGTGACAAGTGGGAATGGTTCAGACACACACTGCACATCTTGATGTCATTAGTCACATCCAAGCTCACTCGTCTAAAATTCTATTTCCAAAATAACCTGAAAACACAAAGACAGAACACGGTACATACCTATTCTGCTTTTGAGGTTTATAAAAGGTCAGTAGTGAGCATACAGGGGCATTACAATAAAGGAGATTCAAACTGGGGTAAATAGGATGACAAATGAAAGCGAAGACTCTGGGGCCTGCCCAATCTGTCTTTCTAGAAGAGAAGTGGAGACACTACTCTGAAGCTGGGCACAGCCACACAGGGAACAAATCAGAAGCAGGTATGGATCTGGAGAAGCCTGCAGTGGGAGCGGGAAACACCAGGATGCAGTCGGCTCAGTATGGGCAGATTTTTAAAGGCCAGAGGCCAGTGGTGACCATTTGCAGCACATAATCAGGCCACCTGGAGCAGAACCTTGCCCATCAGCAAAAGACAAAGAAACGGCAGGCTAGCCGGCCGCTTCCTCAAGTCTCAGGCTACTTCCTGGTCACATGAGCATCAGAGTGCTGCCAGGTCAGAACAAAATAATGACAAGAAAGCATTCAGCTCCATGTCCTGGAGAATAAACAGCTCAACATGGGTTCTTGGCCACAACCACAATTTTACTGTGTGCTTATGTGCAAAGAAAGGAACAATAACAAGAATAACAATGACACAGATTATCAAGGCCTATTTTTTTAACTGAACCAATTTACAACTTATCTATAATGCAAGTACGGGGCAGAGAAAAACCACACAATTGCTGAAAAGCTTTTATCCACTTTTGTTCTGACTTCTACAGCAGAGGCTGGGAGAACAGTAGGGAAATGCTCTATGCCTGCACTGTCTACAGTATCAGCCCCTAGTCATTATGTAAGGGCACTGCTCCTACTTAGGATGCCCCATTTTATCTGGACCCCGCTCCATTTTATTTCAGGCTTACCATGTACCAGATGACATGAGTCCTACTAGAAGCAAGCGTCTCATTCCACACTATTTTCTATCTTACCAAATTCAGCATCCTTGAGGTCTCTCCCCCATGCAGACCCAGGCTACAAGATACCATGCAAACAACCAAAATATATACTACTTTACAATTTGTAAGGACTAAAACGAACCCTTTCTTCAAGGTAAATAAAACAATATTTACCTTTTGTGTGTACTCCTAATCTGTAAGATCCAAATGTAAAAATCTTTCCGCCAACATTTTCAATTACAGATTGTGGAAGATTCTATTGAAACAAACAAACAATGGTTACTTTCTCAGTGATACACAAAAGAAATTCTTTCAAACAGTATGGGTACAGTTCAAAATTCCCAAATAAGACCACTAATACAGAGAACATTCAAACCATACAAAATAACATAACAGGCCTTCAGAGGTCAACCTAATTTGAAATTCACACCATTTTTACTTGTTAATGAGTGTTCTTTAGTGAAGAACCAAGTCATTTCAGAAACTTCCCATTTTTAAAAAAACAGCTATAAAGACCAGGGTAGAAGAAGTCATGTGTTCGTGGGGACAATGCAAGACCAGGGTTCTTATTCCTGACAAAGATGCTACTTAATACCAAGCCTGGATAATAAAATGGACTAGAAACTGGTATCAGGACCAGTTAGAAGCACAGGTAACTCTACTGAAGAGCACAAGGGAATATATAATATATAAAAAGTTACTTTAAAAGTCAATTCTGGAAATAAGTAATTTTGTTTTTCAGACTACTTGGCTTGGGTAGAATGATTTGGGCAATCCATCCAGAAGAGGCTGAACCTTCTGCCACCCCACCAGGGACTGTGCTGGTGTCATCTGTCAGGGAGCTTTCATTCAGGGTATCTCATTGCCCCACACGGCAGTCCCTACTCCATACAGAACACACAGAGGCACCCCCTTTCCAGGAGGCTGCTCTCTGCTGATGCCCACAGGGAGCAGTGTTGCTAGCTCAAAGGCCACGGCTTTATGGTGGTCTGAATCCACTAGCAGCTCTGTGGGAGAAAGATGGACAAATTCCTCTTGTGCAATATACAGTCTGAGAAACACAACTGAGGGTCAGCAATGAGTGAGTTCTGACTCCAAAGCTATGACGAAGATATTTAGATATACCCATGAGTGGCCTAGTGTAAGAATCAGCACTGCACTCCCACAAGCACGTGACTTGAATCCACCAGCACCTCTTCGAGAAGGATGAACAAACCTCCATGCAACTAACTGCCTCTGAAAACCTCAAGGGTCAGCTTATAGGTCAGTTCCTACACAATGACACACAACCTGCCAATGGAGTTGAGTCCAACGCACAGGTGACCCTCCATCACGCTTCTGAAAGGGTCAATATTGACGGAGTGGACTGCTCACTTTCTCCTGAAAGGCAGCTAGTGGATTTGAACTGCTACCTTTTGGTTAGCAGCACAACACTCTGCCACCAGAGCTCCTTCTATTTACAAAGAAAGAAAACCAATTCTAACAGTAGCCTGGGTACCAGGAGGCGGCCAGTACTCTTTGTAGAGAAAGAAACCTATAAAGCAAGTGCAGGAGAATGACATGAAGAGAGTGATTTGTAGACAACTGCAGGAGACACTAATTCTCTGAAATGAGCACTCTCCTGAACTTTCTGTGAGGAAGGGAATGGTCTTGACCTGCAAGGCCCAACACAGTAGCCAAGAACAACCAAGAACAACTTGTCCATGGATTTGATGCACTTGAAAAGTAGCTAAAAAAAAAATCTCTCATTGCCCAGTTGGAACCAACTCACAGCTGACCCTCTACTGGATGCCAAGGTTGTAGGTCACACAGAAACAGACTGCTTATCTCTCTCCCACGAGACCACTGAGTATGAGGTGCACAACTCCGTACACATGCCACCACCAGAGGGCCTGAGAAGCAGCTAGTGTAGCTGCAAAATGCCGTATTTAATACAGCCGTATGTGGCTAGTGGCCTACCCTGTTAGCAAAGCTTTAGATATGAATACACTCATACATACTGAGAGCCCTGTAACCCAGAAACTGACTACTCAATTTAAGTCACAGAAAAAACACAGCAACTGTAACATCTTCATTTTTAAAATCTTTACCTTATCAGATGGTAAACAAAGTAAGTTACAAACATCATACAGTGATATTAAAAATTGTTTTAATTAATATACAATTAATATACTCTGCTAGTGAGGATGTTGGCACGCAGCCAGCTGGTCAAAAACATCTCTCTCACAAACTGAAAAACTCACATATATTGTCAATGAGCCACAGTCAGCTCATTGTTGCCATGCATGGATTTTCAGGAACTCATGAAGAATGTGGAAAGAGACTGTCCATCTTTCTCCCACAGAGCAGCTGGTAGACTCAAATTGCCAGAGAGGTGCCACCTGTGGACTGGCAGCACACATCCCTACAGCCCAGACAACCAGAGCTCTCAATATAGAAGGTGGATCCAAAAAGACCTGAACTTGAGAGCGGCAATGAATTCAACTGTATCTCCAAAACTATGTGTATGTAATTATCTCATTAAGTCAAGTGGTTCTAAGAAAATTCAATTAATTCATTAAATTAATTCATTAAATTGCTAGAAAGCATTTTAAGGATAGAAGGGAAAAGATGGAAGGCAAAATGGAAGAGGAGTATCAATATGCTCGCCAAGCCATTTTCCTTACCCTCAGGCAAAGCAATAAGGAGAATTTCATCACGTCTCTGCTTCAAGAACTTAGCAGGCTCTCAAGTACCTGAGACAAAGCTGTCAACAAGACAGGAACTCTTGTTCATAGGAAAGAACAAGTAGCCTTGTCTACTTGAATACGGTGTTTTTAAAAGTAAAGCAACTATTAGAACAAACAAGCTGTCTATCTTATTAAGGAAAGACAAAGGTCAAGGAATGATTAAAGATAAAAAGGGCACCACCAGTCAACAAGGGTGGCTCTGGTGGTGCAGTCTGGGGAGACTGGGTTGCTCTGCTGACCGAGAGGCCACATCTCTGACAGTTTGGGTTATCAAAGGCTCCTTGGGAGTAAGATGGGTACTCTTCTCTTGGGCAATATACAATCTCTGAAAACAGGCTGGGAGGGTCAGCTATAGTCAGTTACAAAGCAACAGTAGTAAGATGAGATGTTTCCGTACCATTTGTTCAGCTCCACATTGTTTCCTTTTCAAAAATATAAATGTGCATGGTAAACTATGAATAAAAACCAGCATATACATAACCCAAAATGTACTGCCATTCAGTTGGTTCTAATACAAGGCAACTCCCAACTGAAAAGGCTGCAATTGCTTAGATTTTGAAATATGTATACATTGTTTTAAGAAAAAATTTGACTAAGATCATTTCTTTGATGAAATATCCCCCTGGTAATGTTTCATTCTACCCTGAGAGATGGGTTATGTTTCTACCTGCACAGCACTGTCCTGTACAAACTGCCATCACAAGTCTTACCCCTGAGTCAGAAAAGCCCCACAGCAATGGTTTGCTTCCTAGTACTTTTTCAAAACGGGTCAAATGAATTCCACATACATCTAAGAATCCATTTCCTTTACCAAAGTCCCATCATCAATTTCAGTTGAGTATTCTAACAATACAGAACTCAGAACATACTGTTACAAGAAAAGATATAGTCCATTCAAGAATCTAATAACTGAAAATCTCCTAACAAGAGTCTCAAAGAAAAAGATTCTTTTCAGGTAAGCATCTATTTGTTTCTATGTAGCAGTTTCAGCTTTGAAATGTTCCGACTAAAAAGTACAAATAAATTCATTAAATGAAGCTCAGTTTACCTTCATTAAAAAATATGTACAAACAAAATATAAAATTTGGGGTGGTAGTGAAGGAAATAGGAAGGATTTTATGTGAAAAATAATGTGTTTGAATTCTGCAAATTAATCTGCATAAAAAGGGAAAAATTATAAATTATAAAAATCACAATCTATGATGGAAACAAGTGGTTACACATGGCAAACTAGTCCTTGTGCAGAAAGTCACCTTACCTTGCTTTCACTGATTTCTCGTATCCACTCTTTTACCAGGTTATTTAATTTTCCCAAAATTAAAATCCTGTAGATAACACAAGTATTAATAACTAAGTTGCATTTATCTCAAAGCATTATTGCTCAAAATGACATCTATATATGTGGCTTCCCAATTTTATTTTTTTAAAAACTTATCAGGAGTATCACCTACTCCTTACTTATCTAGATCATTAACCAACATACAAATCAGCAACCACAGGATAAAAATCTGACCACTCTGTACATGAATGACACACAAGTGGAAACAAGGACATACCCAAGTTCAAGGCAAGAATAAGGCTGGCTCTGATGGTCAAGTTAAAGTCAACTTCGCTAAGCCAGGGGTCTTGGTGCTTGGTTCATAACAGAACAAAAATCTGTAGTTCTCTAAAGATGTAGTTATATCCTATTTTTATGTAACTGCCATTTTCTCCAAACACCACTATCTGAAAACTAACCACATGGCTCAGTGAGGAGAGCTGGCAACTCATATGGGCGTTAGTACAATGAATAACAGATGCCCCCATCACCTGACAAGTGTGATCTGTAATAATGCAAAGCAGGAAGGAAAGAAAGAAAGAAGGCAAAAGCCCAGCCTTCAGTAGAAAACCCAGGTTTCCCCTGCTATGCACGGATTCACATGCCCTTCTGATAGCCTCCTAACTCTCATCAAACGACTGGGTGCTGGTGTTATTTGGCCCTGTGTAGGAAGTAACTAACAGCTGATTCTCCAGCAAGTTTTCAGAGGCTATAAATCACAGAAGGAGAAGACTGCCTGTCTGTCTTGTGCAAAACAGGTGGTGCCTTTGGGCTGGTAACATAACTATCACCATTAGGCCAGCTCCCTAAAGACAGGGATAACGTAATAAGTTATTTCTGGCCTACCAAGGAGTTTGAACAGTTTGCTAATAATTCAAGTAAGGCAAACAGTAACAATGGTTCGTTTTGTCACACTCTTAGGTTTAAAATGAGTCAGCTCAGTCAGAAAAGATGATACATCACTACCAACAAGAAGAGCTAGGAGTGAAGTGACCAGAGAATTGCATACCAATTTGTTCCTGGTACAGAGTTATAACTGAGTACTTTGCTAATAAACCCCATAACTGTGACCACTATCTGTGAGTTCTCTGTGGCCGCTCCCAGCAGCAGAGCAGAGGACCGTGCAGGTCTGCCATGTCTGACCTCTACTTGCATCAAGCTCGGCCTTGTGCAACAATGGCGATTCTTCTCCCTTGTGAAGTGAGACAAAGAAGTCTGATGACCCATTCCACATCACCACTCACACCAACCCATTAAGTACCACTCTTCTCTTGTGTGAGACAGACACAAATGTGAGGTAATAACTCCAGCCTTCGAACTGAGTAACTTAGTAGTCACCCCAAATTGGTATACGTTCACCTTCCTAACAAATAAATCACATCCTACACACATATGTATCTATGTACCTGCGCTGCAGCTCCTCTTCCTCTTCAAACACCCCAAAAGGCTTCAGAGTTTCAACAAGTTTCTGTGTAAGGGTGCAGTCCGACTCCTTGGGGAATGCAAGGCTGATAGGAGAAGTGATACCATAGTGCTTCTGGGGCGGCCGCGTCTGCTGTGATCCCTGCGCTGTAACTGGACTGGAAGCAGAAACATTTTTGTGTCAAAAAGGTCTATTTTGGAGCAAATCAGCATCACCAGGGGGAGAAAAAACACCACTATTGTAAAACACATTTCTAAGCATGGCTACTTTTCCCACTGCAGCCAAAATAATTTAACTTTCGAAACACACACCCTTGCCCTGTAACAAAATCATTCTCCCATCACAAGCATTTTAACGAGCTACATCATCCTTTCGCAGAGCAGCTGACGGATTCAAGCTGTGAACCTTTGGGACTGCAATGCAACTCCTTACCACTAGGCCACCAGAATTCCCTATATACTAAAGTTATTTGCAAAACCTTGAGCAATCAGGATACAGAGAACTTGTTGAAAAGGGTCAAAATTTCTTACACTTCTAACGCATTGTTTTTAAAACATTTTTAAACCTACAAATGCTATTTGCCAATACAACTGAGTCTCTGAATAACAATGACTAGAGCTCCTAGGCTATATGGGTAAAAAAACCTACCATACAGTCTGAAAAAAATTATGTTCATACCAAGGTTGCTACTGATTTTCTTTAAAGACTTGGGTTTTAGCAGTGATGCCACGGTACAAGAGTTCCCTATTTTAAGCAAAGTTTCAGTCTTGTTCAACCACGAGGATCTGAACTAGCAGTGAAAAGGCACAATATACTATAAATTTGTAGGAAACTAATATGGTTCACTATTAAGAGAACCAATTCTTGTTTTGTATTCTCCCTGGTGAAATAAGTTCATAAAAACCCTAAAGATAAGTAACTTATTATT